TCAAGCTCGGGATCTTTTGAAGATAGAAAACACTCATGTCCACCAAAGCAAACTTATTTTTTGGTTCACTAACTTGTAATATTTCAATTTTACAGAAGAAAATAGAAAAATAAAATAACAAAGAAAATACAGCATTAAAAAATAAAAAGCATCAGTCTTTTTGCAAATAACCTGCAACCTGTTTCAAGCTCAAGATCTTGTGAAGATAGAAAACACTCCTGTCCACCCAAGAAAAATTATTTTTTGGTTCACTAACTTGTATTTCAATTTTACAGAAGAAAATAGGAAAATAAAATAATAAAGAAAATACAGCATTAAAAAATAAAAGGCCTCAGTCTAAGTTTTGTACAGGGCCCTAAATGCTCAAGATTAGCAAGTGGCCTAATGATGAAGATGAATATGGTCATGAAGTGTTATGCGTGTGCGTGAGCACACAAAAACAAAATAATTATTAAATAGGCCTTAAGGCACTAGCCTAGTGAAAAATATGAAAAAGATGGAAAGATATCATCTTCAGATCTCTTTCACCAAGACCACCGGAGCAAGTGATCCGGGTCTTTGAAGGGATAAAAAAAGGTGGGTTGTTGGATGAAATTTCAAAGGCCCGAATCACTTGATCCAGTGGCCTCTAGGGGTGGGTTCGAAAAACCAAAAAAAAGGGGAATAAAAACCGGACCGAGGCTGAAAAAAACCGAACCAAGACTGTCAAACCGAACCAAATATGATTTGTTCGATTTTGGTTTTTGATGTTCAAAAACCGAACCGAACCAAACTGAAATATATTTTAATTAAAAAAAAAAAAAAAAGTGTTTGCCGCAAAGGGGTTCGAACCCATTCCCGCTTGGTCGAGTATCTTTCTCTTAAACCATTTTGACAATTTGTTCTTGCTAATACCTTGATGAGTAGCATATTTATAAAAAGTTGGATCATAATTGTTTCAGGGGTGTGCTATCCACACACCCCATTTTACTTCTCACACACCCCTTGATAATTTCTGTCTGTTGATTTTCTTTAATTCATCTGATCCGACGGTCAAAAATTAAAAAGATGTGTGAGAAGTAAAATGGGGTGTGTGGCTCATTTAATAGGTTATCAATTCCCATCTTTCATCCCAACCCCAACTTTTCTTTAACCCTAGCCGCTTCGTTCCAATTCCCATCTTTCATCATCCTCTTCTCTCTTTCCCTCTCTCTTTCTCTCCTTCCCTCCCTCCCTCCAACCAAAAGCATAACCAAAACCCAGAAATCCCACCTCAGAAGAGAAACCATGGCCTAAGATAGCAGTCCTCCTAAGAATAGGAGACCATGGCCCTAGCTTGGCTCTGCTCGTTTCCTAAGGCCAAAGTTGTCTCCATGGATGAGGTTGAAGCCTAGATCGACTCCAACTTCGATTTCATACCCCAAGGCATCAAATCCATCTTTCTGCTTTCCAACCCAATTGGTTGATGGGCATGTTGTTCTATTTATACTGCCATTCTCTAGTTTCCACGCAACTACATCAAAAGATTCAAGTAGGTATTTACCGTTAGTATTACAATTTTGAAAAGCTTGCTGCAATGAGATCAATGATTCTCCTACGTAGCTCTCTACTCAGTTAAGTACGGAATGTATATATTTGCTTTTTTAAAATTTGGATTTATCTGTTGTTCAACTTGCAAGTTGATTTCTCACTGAGGATGCTGAAGGCAGGGAAGCATGTGCATCAAGCTCTAGATTGAAAAAAAAAAAAATTATGGAAAAAACCAAACTGGATCAAAATCGAATAAATAAAAATCGAAAAAATTCAAACCGAACCAAACCGAAAATTTGGTTTGGTTTTGGTTTTTGATAAAAAAATCGAACCGTTTCGAACCGAATCCAACCCTAGTGACCTTGGTGGAAGAGATCCGGAGAAAAAAGATGATGGATAATGTAGGATTGGGCTAGAGATTCAACGTCAAAAACTACGATCCATCTTTCATTTTCTTGTAAATTCATCAATGCACATGATGTCACATCTTGGCCCGAGCCCCCACGACAACCCGAGCTCGACTACACCGTAGCACGATATTGTCCGCTTTGGGCTCCTGCCACACCTTCAAGGTTTTGTTTCTAGGAACTCACACGAGAACTTCTCAGTGGGTCACCCATCCTGGGAATGCTCTTGCCTTTTTCTCACTTAACTTCAGAGTTCCTACGGAACCCGAAACCAGTGAGCTCCCAAAAGGCCTCGTGCTAGGTAGAGATAAGAACATACATATAAGACTTACAGGATCTAGTCCCTTGGGCGATGTGGAATATTACAATCCACCCCCCTTAGGGGCCCGACGTCCTCGTCAACACACTTTCAGCTAGGGATTGGCTCTGATATCAAATTGTCACATCTTGGCCCAGGCCCCCACCATAACTCGAGCTTAACTCCACCGTAGCACGATATTGTCCGCTTTGGGGCCCTACCACACCCTCACGGTTTTGTTTCTGGGAACTCATATGAGAACTTCCCAGTGGGCCACCCATCTTAGGAATGCTCTGGCCCCTTTCTCGCTTAACTTCGAAGTTCCTACAGAACGCGAAGCCAGTGAGCTCCCAAAAAGCCTTGTGCTAGGTAGAGATGAGAATATACATATAAAGCTTACAGGATCCACTCTCATGGGTGATGTGGGATGTTACACATGATGCTTTATTGTAATAACGAAAAACAATCATGCTTGTCTACTTTGATGCGAATTTGATTTCACTGATTTTTTTTTTCTCCTGACAAAAACTATCTAGCCTACTAAAAACAATTTCATATATTTATGTGATATGATAAAAATACCTTTTAGACCTACTCCAACCATGGGCTATTTGCCAAATTTCCCCCCAAACACCACCCAACCCAAGCTAAAACATTGGCCTAAAAGCCAAATGCTAAAGCTAGGCCAAATCCCCCCCCCCACCATCCGCATGGACTTGGTTGAAATTCGGCCACTCTCGGCCCACCCACTCGCGGGCGCGCCCTATGTGCCTGCTTCAAATCTGCTCCCGACAAAGTGGGGGCCCACTGTTAGGGCCTTGTCGGCCACTTCCCTCGAACCTAACGACTCTTTTCCCCATTTGATAGCCATCATTTAAGGACCAATATCCAACGGTCCAAATTCAAATTTCATTTTTAAAAAATATATTTTTTTAAAATACATTGAATCCAACGGTAAAAAAAAAAAAAAAAAAAGATCTAACGGCCCAAATTTAAATCCAACGGCTAAAATAATTAAAAAAAATTATTTAACTCAAAATTCACCCAAAAACTCTATAAATACCTATGTATTTGTTCAAACATCCACACAAAACTCAAATTTCTCCTACAATTCTTCTAATTTATCTTTCTACCATTTCTTTCCATTTCCAAATTGTTCAACATGGCAAGAGAGCATATTAGAGGTCATAATTGGACCTGTGAGGAAGATGTTGCTTTATGCTTGGCATGGGTTTTTGTTAGCGAAGATGGTAAAATTGGCACAAATCAAAATAAAAAAGTTTTATGGGATAAAATCATTGCAAAGTTTCAAGAAAACTGCAACGACGGCAACAAAGCATGCACTTTATGGAAGAGAAGCTTGGAGAGAGCTGTGGTTGGCATGCCTAGTGGAAGGAGAGCCATAGAAATTGTGAGTTTTGTTCTTGATATTTTATTTGTCATGTACATAATATTAGTTTGCAACTAATTATTTTTATGTATTTTTTGCATAGGGTGACAAAGCAATGGAAATTTACAAGACAAGAGTAACACCAAAAAATCAAGTTTTTAAGTTGCAACAAGCTTGGGACGTCCTCAAGGATTGTCTGAGGTGGGGAACCGATGCGGACCAACAATGGGGAAGATTATTTCAACGTGAAGCCGCATAGACAAATGCCGGAGATGAAGGTGTCGATGAAATGACCCCATCTCCTTCTTTTGCGAAGTCCTTGGGAAAAGATAACCAAAAGGAAGCAAAGACAAAAGGGAAGTCCCAAGATCCGATGAGTGGACACTTTGCTACCGGAATTGCAAAATTGAACGAAAACCATAGCGCTCGCCAAGAAGAAACAGCCCGAATGCGTTTGCAAATAAAGGAAATCTCAGATAGGGAGCAAGATAGGTTTGAAATTAAATTGATGATGGAGGACCTCAGCAAATACACTCCATAGAGGAAGAAGTTCTTACGTGGTAAGAAAAACGAAATTTTGTGAAAGTTTGCCTCAAGGAGTATGTTTCAAGATGATGAATCCTCTGAACCCTATATCCCAATTCAATCACGAAGTCCATCACCAAGTGAAGATGGTGGATATAATTACTAAGTTTATGTAGTGTATGAATTATGTGCTTTATTAATTGTCGTTTGTATTAAGTTTATGTAGTTTATTAATTATGTGGTTTATGAATTATCGGTTTTATTAAGTTTATGATTTTTCAATATTTATCGGAATTTAAATTTTTTTAGATTAAAATGTTCATAAAATTAATTTACGATAGTCTACATATTTATTTATTTTTTTAAATTTAATTGAAGAAAAAAATTAGCCTAAGTTCATTCTTTAATAATCCCGGGCTAAAATTTTAGGCCAAAAGAGTTGGAGCAGAAAAGCTGTTTCTGGGCTAAAAAATTTAGCTTTTAGCCCAACCATTGGAGATGGTCTTAAAAGGTTATTTATGCTTTTACTGGACTCAAGATAGGAGAGGGAAAAAAAATGGACAAGGATTGTCTACCCTCCCAGTGCCCTTCTGTGCCCTCTTGTTTATGTAGTCATGGTTAAGCTACGTCAATATTTTATATTACTATTCATTTTTGTCTTATTAACTCTATAAAAAAACAATATAAAATGTTGATATGGCTTAACCGTGACCACACAAAACAAGAGGGCACGGAAAAGCACCGAAAGTGAGAGGGTAGACAATCCTTGTCCAAAAAAATAATGGGATACACATGGCGCAATCTAGTTGCACCACAGTACAAAGTACCAAGAGAAAAAAGTTAGCCTTTTAAACCAGAATGCAATCTGGTTCTTCATGTTCTCTTGAATCTCTTCTTCTCTGCAAAGCTCCAGCACGTGCTTCTCTTCTCAGTTCTCCCTAAAAAAGTCATTAATAATTCGTAACTTCCTTTCTACTCGTCGGTTTGATGAACGATTTTTGCCTATGGATTTAGTGAGTCAAGCCGAACAAGTTTAGGTAAATGTTTTGGACATGGAATCAGGTTTCGAAGTTTGGTTTTTTATTTTTTTAATTGGGGATTTTGACTAACTAGTCTTTAATCTCATGTTTCAAGTGTTCTTGACTTCAATCGAGATTAAGGAGCAGTTTGGAGGAATTCAAGTAAGCTATGAGCATGTATTTTGTTGCTGTTAACTTTGGAGTGATTGCATGCATCTTTGAAAAGTTTTGGGATTTTTGTGTTAGATGAAACTAAGAGAATTATCCATGTCAACTTCGAGGTTGGATGAAGAAATATTGAGTGAGTTTTAGGTGGGTGGTTGCTAGAACCTTAATGCATATTACTTAAACATAGATTTGCATTGTTAATAGAAATGGGGATTTTGTGTCAATCGAAGAAAGGATCTATGTTTTAATTGGCACTGGAATACAATTTTCGTAGCTGGGACCAAACTGTAAGAAAATTTGCAGTTTTAAACATGGATTTATTAATAGAAATGGGGATTTTAAGTCAGTTTTACAATTTTTGTAGCTGAGACCAAACTGTTAAAGCTTGTCTGTCTGTCCACGTTGTGGATCCTGTCTGTCTGTTTGTCCATGTTGCGGAGCCTACCTGTATGTCCGCCTAACGGAACTAGTCTGCATCTGCTTGTTTGCAAACCCATGTCGTATACCGCCACAAGTTTGATGGGATGTTGGAAAACATTAGTATTTAGGTTTTCTTTAATGTTTGGTTTTCTAGGGTTAGCCCTATTAAGTATACAAGTTAGCAATACAATTAGTAAGTTGGTTAGAGTGGTTAGGTTTTCTCTTATAAAAACAGTTGTGTAACCTTGATTCTATCAATTAATACAAAAGCATATTTCTCTCTCTAAATCTCTCTCTCTAAAACTCTCTGTGTTCATCTTTCTTCTTGATTTTCCTTTCAATTCCCAACCATTTCATTGTAGTTAACAAGCCCGTTAACATTAGGGTTTTGGCTCTTTACCTTTTAGGGTTAGGGCTAGTTTATTATAATTAGTGTGCTTGTTATTAGTCGAGAATAAGTTAATCACGATGTAGCTTCTTGGAGTTTTGTAGCTGCATTCTTGTTTGTTTAATAAAATTCTTATTATCTTGTAATTTGTATCGTCAAGCACTCTGATATTCAACTGTTTGGTATCAGAGATAAGTCATGCCGCCTCGACATCGTACAACTGGTTTATTTGTAGAGGGCGCTATCCCCGATACTAAGCAACTCATTATTGCCATAGCCCGCGCATGTGGTCTAACTCCATATGAGGTAATTGTTGCCATAAGCCAGGCAGCCTAGGCATGTGGTCTTACTCTACCTGAGATAGCCCGGAGTCTTGGAGCCTAGAATTTAGATGGTGATGGTGGTGGAGAACAAGCCGAAGGATGGATTGAGCAGATGGAGCTAATTCTTGACTCCATGAGTTGCCCACTGGAGAAACGGGTTATGACAGTGACCTTTTTCCTCACAGGCAGTGCATGAGTATGGTGGACTTCATAAAAGTAAACCCTACCTAGGAACACGCCAATTACTTGGGAGGTGTTCAAAGAAAAAATTAATGCGAGGTTTTTCACTCTTGAGTACAAGACCCGAAAAGAAATGAGTTTTTATATCTGCAGCAGGGGAATATGAGTGTGACAGAATATGAGAGGAAATTCATAGAACTCTCAAAATATTGTATTGCCATAGCAAACAACTCGGTTGAGATGTTGGCCCAGTTCTATATTGGTCTCAACAGGTACATTAGGAGCATAACCTCTTCATATGTTTACCAACTTACCAGGAAGAGTTCCAAGTGGCCCTGAGCATTGAGCAATCTTTTAGCAAAGAACCAAGTGAAGGAAGTAATGTAGGTTTTGAGCCCAAGTGACAGAGGGGCCAATTTCCTGTGGGTGGCTTGAAATAGCAACCGTCATTCAAAAGAAGTGGTCAGAGTTATGGTTCCTCTAGCAGAGGTTTTAAATCTGGTACCCCTCAATCAGGAGGGCGATCATCAGGGAGTTCTTGTTTCTCACGCAGTGTACAATCAGACAGTTACGGTAGAGTTGACTACCCTCTTTGTCGGCCTTGTAACCGACCTCGTGAGGGAGAATGCAGGCAGGGCACCACTCAGTGCTTCATTTGTAGACAAACTAGTCATTTTCAAAAAGAGTGTCTGTTTGCATAGCAGGATGAAAGAATGGCATCAGTGATTTCCTAGCTTACAGGTGCATGGGATGCGTCATGTTAGCTTAAACTAGTGCATGCTATATGTTTTTCAAAATGGGGGTTAAGTTAACATCTTTCAAGTGTCTCACCCCCATGACCTAGTAGTTCGTGTGTATGTCGAGGCATTTCTAGCAACTCTGGCAGTTTCCAACAATGTGGGGAAGTTACGTTATCTATATTTTGTAATGAAGTTCCCATTTTAGGGAAAATTTTTAGTTGTACCGGGTACACCAAATTTTTTTGGTGTACCCTCACTCATTAAAATTTTTTTGGTGTACAAAAAGTGAGGGTGCACCAAATTTTTTTGGTGCACCCTCACCATTATGAGTGAGGGTACACCAAATTTTTTTGGTGTGCCGGGTACACCGAAAAATCCCTCCCATTTTAGGATGGCAACTACTTTCCTTTTACGCTTTGAATTTCTATTATGCTTATGCATATAATGGAGAGTTTGAGACTCATTATATACGTCTATGAGAGGCTTGTGAGTTATAAATGTGCATATTCTTCCAGGTTAGAAGACCGTGATACTCCTAAACATAGGCGAGATTTTGCCCGATTTTCGAGGTTGGATTGGGCCGTGTCATCAAAACCCTTCTTTGTAACAAAAAGCAAACAAAAACGTCAAATCATTTGTACTATCTTTGTAATAGAGATGAAACTAATAGAGATAAAACTCATATATGTTGTTGGACTCTACTTCTATTGGAAAGATAATGCAGATGATGGTACAAATAGATAATAAGTATAGCATTACTCGTTAATTATGCATTGTTCCTTATTCAAGACAAAAAAATTGTGTAATCGTAACACCACCTAGCATCTGATGTGGTATTTCTAACATGAAAGTCAGATGGTGTTATAAGTAACCGTTTTTCGTACTTATTTCTAACATGAACTTCATTGAGAGGAACATGTTTAAGTAAAATTATAGAAGTCCAATAATTTCGATTGTTAAGAAGATATGAAGAAAATGAGGCATGCGCAGACGACGACCAACATCACAAAGCTACACTTCCATAGCCACCCCAGGAATGGACCAAATGCATTGCTATGAAGCTGAGCAGCAAGAGCACCACCGACACCATTACAACACAAATGGTCACTGAATAAAATGGCATAACCACACAAATTCCAAATCATAATCAAAACCAATCCTAATCGCACAAAAACCAAAGAGAATATATCAAAATCCAAACAATCCCCAAATAACCCATCAAACCAACTAAATAAGTTCTTATGTTATCTTCACCATAAAACCAGCAAGGACAAATTTTTGACACTAATGAACCCAACAACTATGTAAATAACACCATAGAAAGCGGCAGCACATAGACCCAAACCGAGGGAATGGTTTTCACACCTTGCACTTGATAGGAGCATATTTAGGCAACTTAGTTGGCTTGTTCTTGTGCATTTACGTTGTTATTTCTTAGTTCTTTAAGTCTTTTAAGTTATTTTCGTATGTTTTCAGGTTCTAAGGGCTAAAGGAGCAAAGAAGTGCATTTTGGAGCCTTTTGGAGCACTTTTGGGCTAAGGATGGATAGCTTATGCTTGGAGCCAAAGTGTTGGACGAAATTGAAGGCCTTGTATGCACTTTAGGACATAAAACAAAGGGCCTAGCCCATTCTAACACCATTGCCGTGCATTCCCCTTCCAATTACAGTTTTCCCACTTCATCATTCCAGCCACATTCTTCCATTCACTCTTCAATCATTCACCCTAGTTGGCAGCCACATGTTTTCCCATTTCAATCATTCACCCTAGTTGGCAGCCACATGCTTTCCCATTTCAATAACATTCTTCCAAAAACAATCAGCCACATTCTCTCTTAAATCTATCCTTGGCCGTGCATTTCTCCATCCATTCATACACACTTCACACCAATTCCCATTCTCTCCCCAATAGGCCGTGCATTTCCCCTTCCATTTCCAGCACTCCCCATCCCTCCAAAATACTACCCTACCATCACACATCCATTCCTCCATACAAATACCACCCCAAAACCTGTCCTTAGACCTTGTGCCGTAACAAAGAAGAGGAGAAGAGGGCCTAAACGTTCATACAATTCAAGTTTAAGTTGCTGGAATTTTTAGGTGTTTCCTCTCCTTGATTTCAATGGTTAAATTTACTTATCTTTGTCTTGTACGTATGAGGAACTAAACCCCCCTTGGCTAGGGGGGATTCGAAACCATGATCATGCTTGCTATATGATTTGATTACCTCTAATTGCGTTTCATAAGTTGTGAATTCAATTTACTTATCTATTTGAATTAAACTGATTTGTGTGTGTTGGTTGAGAGTGCACGCTTAATTATCATGCGTAAATCTAATGCTAGGATATAAGGAAGTTTCTCCTAATCGTTGCAAACTTATATTCACAAGTAGTAAAAGTTGATGACCTCAATTGCGTTAAGTAAATTCTTGGCATAAGTTTCATGCAATTCATAGTAACGAATGCTTCGTCAATGCTTATGGTTTTCAAAGAACTTAATGATTTTTGCTTGTATCTCTATTATGCAATTCATGTAGGGAACTTGTGGGGAATGCTTTGGGTTGTCGTATGCAATCATCCAATTCAATAACGTTAGGAAAATCTGAGGGTTAATTAGTGCAATTCACGGTTAATCTGGGGCGTTGAGAATTCATGGGTTATTGAAAAGCAATTAGAAATCGTTTTCTGTGCAAGTATGGCATGTGTGGAGATGAACCCCTTAGCTAGCTTCCATTCCATTCATTAAATCCAAATTCGTTTTAAAATCTGTTCGTTTTACAAAGTTTTAAGTTTTGTTTTCAAATTCGTCAAAAAACTCAATCCCCCTTTGCTTTAGTGTCCAACTTAGTTAGAAAGTGTCTTAGTTTGTGTTTCTAAGTGTTTTGATTCATTTTATTACTCAATTTCGTCCAAAGTAGTCAAAGTGCTCAAAACTGCCCAGAAAGTGTTTTTAAGGCAGTTTTGAGTGTTTTGGGTGCTGTTTCAGTCTTTTGGTTTGTTTTAGTGTTTTAAGTGTTTAGTTTTGCATTCTTTGAGTCTAGTTTAGTGTTTTAAACTTTATTTTACGTTTTTGAGTCAGTTTCCAAGTGATTTTGCAATCCCTCCTAATCCCCGGTTAAGAACGATCCCTACTTATACTTATACTACAATTGTCACAAGAGGGTTTTAATTTGTGTGCTTATTTAGTTCGCATCAGCACTAATATTAGAAAACTCGTTTGACTTGTCTAATTTGCAAATGTCATCATTATGTCAAACAATCGTACAGCAATTTTTTCCCCTCAAGTATGAGAGATTTTTCAATGTACAAGGAACATGAAGTGGTACACCACATGTCTCTATACTCCTGTGACTTCTCTTTTATATTCATAAGTGATTGCTTTTGAAGAAATAACAAGGAGTTGGTATACAAGTTCTGAGACGGTAGTCTAAACCAGTTGACAAAGTTAAACGGTGATATTGTGTTGATCATGTCTTGTGTATAATGTTATTGCTATTTGTAGATTGAAGAAGTTAAGGTTTCAGTATAAAATTAATTGGCAATTTGAAGAGTAGCCTAATTTACTTATAAGTCTATGCAAGGTTTCTCCTCTCATCAATATGAGATTCAATCTCAATACGCCCCTCATGTGTAACGAATTTTCAAGCCTAGCACGTGGACAACACAAATTAGGTAATGTGGAACACGTGTGATTGTTAAGCTTCATATGAGTGGCAATATGCTCTAATACTATGAAGAAGTTTAGGTTTCACCTTAAAATCAATTAGTAATATAGGGATAGCCCAACTTAGTTTTATTTTATTTTATTTTATTTTTTAAGGAAACGATAGTAGATTTTATTCATAAACAAAGTCATACAATGAATCGAAGAGGTTACAAGGGTAAGGAACAATCCTCAGCTAGAATATCTACGATAATACTAGGAGGAGACCCTATCCATTCACAACACTGATCCAAAGTAAGACCGAGACGAGCTAATCAATGAGCAGGCCCATCGGCTTGACGACGAATGTGGGAAATAAAAGCTTCAGTGACTATCAGAGAAAGCATTTTGATGCCTTCGATTGATTGCTCGACGAATGGCAAATTAACCAAAGAGTCTCGCAATGCATCGACAATCTGAAGCGAATCAAATTCGGATAAAATATTAGTAAAGCCTCTTTCATGCGCCCAAATCAAGCCAATTCTAACAACCATAGCTTCCGACTGGAGAGGTGAGAAGACATAAAAAAATTTCCCACACCTTGCAGCCACAAAATCCCCAACAGCGCCTACAATTAACCCAAATCCCCCTAAGTTCTTATCACAATTTCAAGAGCCGTCGATATTGAGCTTGAGGCATCCAGAAGGAGAACACACCATTTTGCCAAAAAGTGGCGAGAGGGAAAAGAAGAGATTTTCACCTCATTTTGACATGAAGTTGTGCCACCACTGGATTGCCTGAGCTATAATGACATCTGGAGGATCACACTTGCTATTCCTAACATCTCATTTCTTGCTCCCCAAGGAGCCCAGCAGATCATCATAAAAGACTCAAACATCACCAGTCTAATCAATTCTGCAATATCCATTACCCAGAAAAGGAATGATGGAGGAGAAGAGCCACGCAACAAGCTTCCAAAGTGGGAGGATAGCCAAGCGCATTTAGCAAAGGGGCACTCCATTAATGAATGGAGAATTGACTCCTCATGATGGTTTCACACACACACGGCAGATCAGTCATGATGTGGCGCTTGGCGAGATTCAATTTAGTAAGGATAATATTGTTACAGAGTCTCTATATACATGCTCTAACTTTTGGAGGAACGTTGGCCTGCCAAATCTTGGACAGAACCCAACAGGCAGACTAGGATAAGAGGAAGAAGAAGCACCAGAGTAACTCAGTTGCATCCACTCCCGAGCCAAGTGGTAGCCACTCTTAACTGTAAACTTCCTCGTGTTTCGTAGTGTCAAATTAGATAATCATCAGACTACCTTATGCTCACTAGAATAGACTAAAGAGAATTAACTTCCGTCTTGAAAAAACAAGAAGTCAACAGTTCAGAATTCCATTTTCCAGCAGTGGGGTCAAATAATTGGTTAATCGTCTGGAGAAAGCAGTCCACCGGTTTGGGTGAGAAAATCCGAAATCGAGTCGGTA